GGGAGGGAGGGCAATTTATCCTGCCAACTGTATGCAGCATGTTCCCTTTTGCTGATGTTCCTACAGTACAGTATGTGACATACCAGTGGTAATAAGATCTGGAGCTGAGACAGAAGCAAAGTAGAAACATTCAACTAAAAGCAGTCTATTCTAGGGTTAGCATGAAGCTAGTTTGAAACGAGCTTTGGCATCCTAACACAAAAGGAACAGATAACTTCTTTATGTTCTTCAAATGCATGAATTTCCAATATATTAACAATTTCTGATGCTTTAACATGCACTTTGCAACTTTTTTTTTTTTTTTTAAAAATGAAGAATGGCTGTGTCATAGCCAGTTTTTTCTACTTCAGGTCCTTTTCCAGTGCTTTTCATTAGCAGGTACTTACAGGACAAGAACGGAAAGAACGAAGAAGAAAAGTTCACTTGTAATTAAGTTACGGTAGATCCACACTACCCATTTTGAGGCAGTGTAATTTTCCAGTATTTTTATCCACTCAGAGACTGCAGCATACATAGAAGACAAACCTCTGAAAGGACCACATTCTTCTGAAGGTTTTAACCTGAAAGTGTGAGAAAACAGCCACTTAAAGCTTCACATATCAACCAGTAAGTAAGTTAATATTGTGATTTTGTACATCAAGAAGCTCGTTAGTTTGCTATAGCCCTCTGCTCTCTTTGGACTCTCAGGGAACTTCCATGATCTATGTTTGATTTTTAACTTGAGTCACTCTCTAGCCATTAAAACGCCCACCCCAGACTGCACAGTGAGGGATAAGAGACCCCGCTGCAACAGATTGGTACCAAGCCCTGTAAACACAATCTTGATGTAAATTTAACAAGTCAATCACTGTAGTGAAAGCTACAGCAAATTGAAAATCTGGATTTTCAAAGTTTCACCACAGGTGCTCAAGGGAACCATCATTTCACTTTACCTTCAAGGACGTAAGTCACTACAGACTTTCAGTAACAACAGGATGTGGTGAAGTAAGGCAGCTCATAGCAAGAATTAACATTTTCAGGTAGACTGAAATAGGAAAGTGTTGTTTGCTTTGAAGTTGAACCCATCCAGACAGTCCGAAATTCCCACTTGCCATCTGGAAATATTTGCTTTGAAATATTTCATCCCACCTGGCTTCATGTGTAGCCATCTGTCTTACTAAACATTGAAACCACGTGGCTGAGAATTGCCAAGATAAAAAGGGGCATCCATCCTGCCCTCCTTACTGTGACCAGAGTAACATGCACATAAGCAAAGCAGCTTTAAAATACTGGTAACAACCAAGATGCATTTTTCCAGAGGTCAGAGCCTTTGAAGTTTGTAAGTAATCCAGAAGTTGACATCAATTGAGTTTTTCCAGGTGTTTCTCTACTCCAGACCCAGTACAGCCTGTAACATAAGTAACTCCAGGATAGGACTAGGTCACTGGAACTTTTAAGGAGGAAAAGCCAAATTCGCAGTGACATTTAAGAACCTAAAACTTCAAAGCAACTTTTTGCTCATCCCACTTTCTTATGGGACAAGTTACTGTGTTAACCACATTCTTGCAAAGACATGTCATGAACATCTGAAACCGTCCATTAGCAAATAATATAGCTTTTTCCATAGAAGAATGCAGATTCCTCTGCCTGGTATCAGGTCACACAGCATAACATGGTAGGCTTGAATGCCAGTGATCTTCCATACCTCCAGACAGTGACTCCAATGACAGATAGGACTCCAAGGAAGGAAGGGAAAAACAGCAGGAACATAAATGATGTTGTCATTTGAGCAGTTCTCCAGACTTTGCAAGGGGGTTGGCAATTCATCATCAGACTGACCTTTAAAGAGATGAAGGTACACTGACTCTTGGAATGGTGTTACCTGCCGCTTCAACTTGGTTTAAGTCGATCCCACTGAAATTGCTGGTGGAATTGCTGCAATAGCATCTATCAAAAGTTTCCAAGAACTTCTTTTACATGAATTTGATAGACATACTGCAGTTTTAGAGAACTTCAAGAATATAGTCTCTAAATAGTAAGAGGCAAAATGAGGCTCTGATGGTTTCTTCAGGACTTTGTCAGATAGAGTTTGCTTTTGTAGCATATGCAAACCCACAGTTCAGGGAAGTTCAAATCAATCTTTCTAGCTATAGCTTTGTTCTTCTACATGCAACACTACAAACTGTTCAATGACCCAACAAACTATCATTTAGTCATACTACTGAGACAAAGAGTTCTGAAAAGAAGAAATTTCCACCATGATCTTTAGCTGAGTCATCTTTCTTACACTTAGGTAAGTTGGCAGGGGCGTTGTTGGGGAGAAAGCAGGAAGCCAAAGTCACAGGCACAGGCTGAGTGTCTATATTGACATATGTACTTGTACACCATTAATTCCCCAGCCTTTAATTCTACTACTTTATTCTCTCCCCTCTCCAACTGTGCTCTTAACTCCTCTTATAACCCTTCCACACTTTTCCCCCTCTTAAGTTTCACAGGTTTGTAATTCAAGGGCACGCATCTAAATTGCATTCCTTTAAACCAATCCTCACCCCTCAAAATCCAATCAACCAAACTGCTCCCCTAAATACAAAACCAGCACTTTAACACAATAAGTTCTGCCCAGATTTCAAATGGTCTAAGTTTACAATGAATACATGTAAAGCTTGTTACCTTTTTCACATAAAATACTACAAAAAATGATATCATCTGGATACCAGGCAGCAGAGGTGAGAAGAGGATACCAATCCTACAAGAAAGGATTTATAAGAGGAAAAAAAGTTAAATCTTCACTATTCACCACACAGCCCTCAGTGCACTGAAAGCAGAAAGTATCACACTAACTTCATATACAGTTCATGTTTGGTTATTTGGAAATATTAACATTGAACCTATAACAGTAAGTCAACCTTTAAAAATATGTAACTTCAAACATACATATCTATGTACACATCTGCAAAACTCCCTTACAATTGGAGTAACATACACATTCTTAGAAATAAGGCACCTTTTCCAGGGTTTAATACTGAGACTATTTCAACAGGAACACCATTCCAGTGGGGAAGTAAACAAAACTCTAGCATATTCCTTTTACGGGTTTCTCCCAGAACAGGTGGCCACAGGGTAAACTACTGACTAAAGTTATTGTTATTACCTGCATAATCACAAAGAGAACTGGCAAATCACAATCCTTACAAAGGTACTTAATATGTCACCTTTCTCACATTTATCTTGTTCTTTCCCCCATGATGGGAAGCACTCAGAAATGTCAGAATAAGCAAGTTCCCTGGTATTTCTAACTGCAGATGAAGTTTTGGCTGTGAATGTAACCCTTACCAGGTCAAAGTCTGTGCATAGATCAAATCTAAAATATTTCGTCCGATATCAAATTCCGGCAGCCCCAGGCTCACACAGAATGTAGTTCCAACAATTCTAGGGGAAAAAACAAAGCAAAACAAAGCATCAAATCACAGCACAATAGCATTTGCTAAATGATAAAACCCTTTGTAGAAATCTATCCAAGTGACCTCCTGAATACAAGCATTAATGACAAATTATTTAGGGGTTGCACTAACAACATGCCATGCAAAGCAGCCAGTTTGTTGATTAGATGACACATCAAAAATGAAACAGAATTCGGCAAAAGTAAATTCCCATAACACGCGGCAGGGTTGAAATATGACCTACGGTATTTGTCATGCAACTGAAAAAAAAAAGGGGGGGAAGGGGAAGGGGAAGAAAGGATTTGTAATTATATCAGAAAAGTATGCAATTAAGTTATTTCAACTTAAACAGTTGAAACGGCAAGTTGCCTCAGTACAAAACTGTAACAGCTTTTCAGCTCCTGAGTCCTGAGAATTTTCAGCCTCAATCAAAAAAATGAATCTTGTAGACTGATACACTCTTAATATATCCCGAAATAAATCCTACTTCAAACTAACCAAGGTTGCAAGTAGCTGAGTGAGACATAGGTAAGCAAGTACTCAGAGGATTCCCGCTGAGGACCAACAATCCCTTTTTATCACCTCAATTTTCATGAGCTGGGGAGATTCACTTTCTGCTTGTTGTAGCAAGAACAATAAAGATTTTGGTAACTATCCCATCTTGCCTCAAATACAGGTCTTCATACCACCTTATCAGCTGCATCATCAACAATGTTTCAGGGCTGGGTTTTCAGGGTGTTATTCTGAATACATACAAATAAATATGAGCAATTGTACTTTAATCTTTCCCAGCTGTAAGTCTGGTGCTTTTGCACAGCTTAGTGAAGGACGTTCATCACAGCTGACGCTGCAGTTTTGGTACTGTGACCTTTTGCTGGAAGGCGTTTTCCTATCTGAACAGAATGAGAACAGAAGAAGATTAAAGTACACTGGCAAGAGCTGTGGTGGGAAAGTCTTCAAGGGCTTCTCAATGTTGTTTTGTGTTAATTTAACATAAATTTAACAAAGTCCTACCTTGTCAACCAGTCTTGTTCACATCATGTGCAAAGGGCAAACAATGGATCTCCTACACAAGTAAGGCCAGGAACCCTAAATGCTCTGTAGAGCTGGCAAGCACTTAAATACTCTATTGCCTTAAGTCATAAATAATGTTTGGCAATAGGAAGGTACACACAGCAGATGTCAGAAGTAAATGACTTCTTGCTTACATGCTTAGCTGTATTCACGTTCAGTTAAAAATAGTTTCTCACCATGCTGCAGAACTCTACACTTGAGAGTCATATCACATCCTTAATAAGAGTGATTAAAATAAGATTTTAAACTTGTGTGCACCCTGTAAAGTGACATAACTAAGAGGAAAAAAAATTACAGGGGGACATACTAAGGAAAGCCAGCAGTGTGCCTGTGCATATGCAGAAAAGCAAGGTTTTCTGCTTGAGACACTTGGTCCTTTGTCACCCCATTCAGGAGATCCATAGGAGTACAGCATGGCTTCCTCCCTGCCTGTGTTTCCATTTCCAAAAGAAAAAAGGACACATTGGGACAGCAGAAGGGTACACATTCTGACTGCCTCCTAAGAAGGAGCTGCAATATACACAAGGCATGTACCCAGAGTCTATGCCTGGTACAGACAACCAAGAAAGCTTCAGTGGTGCCACAGCCATGCTTCTGTTGAACTTCTTTCCTCACATCAGAAAAAAGACCATGTCTTTAGTGCCTTTGGTTAACAAATAAAAACAAGATTAGAAAAGCAGCACTCACCTTCGTAAAAACTCTCCAAAGAACGAGCCAAGCAAACAAAATATGAAGTCAACTAGAACAAGACGATAGATATCTTGGCCAACCAGAGTTTCCCAGCACTTTAAGAAGCAGAAGAAAATAAAAATAAAAATGCATATCTAGAAGTGAAAAATCATGCGATTCTAACATTGTTCCCAAATGCTTGCGCATCTGAAACTCGTGCTACAGAGCAAATATTTGCTAACAGCCTCACTAATCAGTCAACCTCTCATTGAACAGTGCTGCAAACCAGCTGAGACCTGAGTTGAGGGATTCATTTTTTCCTACAGTTCGTTTCTCTAAAGATGCTAATAAAAAACCATGTTGGGGTGGCAAGTTCAGCTTTCCAAGACACTACTTCTCTTTGCTGGAGCAAGCCTCTTATCAAAGTGGTTCCTAACCTGGCATTATAAGTCAAAGATTTGTATTTTTGAAGCTTTACCTGTGACTCTGATGTAGCCACAATGTTAAGCCAGTAGTAGCACAATATTCCAACAATTGATATTTTCAGGATGGTATTTCTAAAAAGAAAAAAGTAACAGTAACTGCACTGACAGCAGGTTCATAAGCTCACTGGAGCAAATGATGGCAGGATGACTGCTGGTTACACTTTATTACCTCCTCTTATAACAACAATAGCACTGCAGAGTGCCAGGACTAACAGGAGCTCTCCTCGGAGCTTAGGTGCAGCACTGTTCTATTGTCCTGGCAGAGGGGAGCTGGGCATGACGACCTTGGCACAAGGCTCTGCTAAACAGGTGGCTGGTTGGGTGTGTGGTCTCCACAGGCGAGGAAGATCTGAGGGGCACCAGGGGTTATGTAGTGTTAATTCCGGGCATTTGTACCTAAGTAAGACCTCCTCACTTTTCTCTCCATTTCCCTTCCTCTCCCTGGGAGGCCAACAGCCCAGGGGCCATCTAGGGAAGCTACAAACAAAACCAAGCCCAATGTCACAGCGTGACTAACAGAGGGAATCCATACCCCATCCTTACGCAGAGATGTAACACTCCAGAAGGCTCACAGAAGACAAACAAAACATGGAGGGAACAGTGTACAGAAGCCTTTGGAGAAGATTAATTCTCCTCCATAGCTCCCTACTGCCCACCACACCACCTAGATACAGCTTGTTGTCAAAAAGAAGTCAGACAACCTCAGGCAAAAAGCACTAAGAGGTGGTAGCAACAAATACCTGGCAATAGTGACGTATATCTGATGTCCAGGAGTCTGAAATCTCTCCAGGTGTCCAAGCCACGAGTAGAAGAATGGGATGAATGCATTGAGGAAAGATACGACAACAGGTAGCACCAACATAGCAGCTTGGCTCTCTAGGTCATTTTTACTCCCTTTCACAAACAGCTTAGAGAGGAAAACCAAAACAAAACAAAAATGAAACAACCCCAACTTAGAGCCTTAACCAAAATGCTGCCTCAAGTTGTATCCACAGAGAAGACACTTGGCACACTTCCCTGTATGTTCTCAGGTTAGAGACTATCATGTTTTATGGGCCCATGTCCAGCAGCACAGTGACTCTCTCCCCTTCCCCCGCATTACATGGGACCAAGGGTGGGAGCCCCAGCTTAAATGCAGCTCCTAGGCAAAGGAGAGGCAGGCCTTGCTGAGGCTGCTTCTGGCTGTTTCTTTCAAGGTCACCAGCTGCACTATCCCTGAGCTAGCCATGAGTCCAGGCAAGCAGCTGCTGGGGTGAGGGGGGGATTTGCTTAGACCCCTCAGGTCCTATGCTCTTGCCATCATCCCCAGTGGCACAAGCCTTTGCAAACCAGCTTTTCAGGTACAGCAGAATTTGTGCTTGCACTGGCAGAAACAAAAGCTGTGCTTCCCTATGGTGCTAGTAGCGACCAGACCACTGCTTGCACTCAGTATAAGCTACCCATGCAGGAAAAATGCATCTCCAAAAACAGACTGCAAAATCTGTCCTTACCTTTAGGTTATTAACAGAGAGTAAGTAAACACCAGCACAAGCAGCTACTGCTGTTCCCACGGAAGCAATCCAAGAAACAAGATGAATAACAATACGAACAACTCTCTCTGTTATAGAAAAATTTAGAACTTCTCGGTTTACTTCAGTGAAGTCTTCCTGCAAGGAAACAATTCCTAATGAAGAATTCCTTAGTCAACCACACAAAGCAAAACTTGTTTCAAGTAACTACTTAAGAGACTGAATGAAAGATTATTTCTGTAGAATATGGGCAGACTAATATCCTGGGAACATCTACTGGACAACTTTGTGTTCCTATCCTAAAAGTCTTTCCTCTTGGCAGTTACACCGTATGTCAGGTAACATTAGAAGCCTGCCTTTTGTTTATAGAAGAGTTAAATAGGAGGAAGGAAAACCAGAAGAAATATTCTGTTTGGCAAATATTTAATAGTCACAAAGAGTGATTCAGTAGAACAGAAGCATACAAATATTTATATGTAGCTTAAAGAGGACAGAAAACAAGTAGCTAAGCCAACACCAGGAGTTCAAACCAAATGAAACTTAACAGTCAGGAAGACTTAAGTCTATTATGCTAGCAGAGTGACTCATGCATGCTAGTTTTGCACCCTTTTACCTTTTTGTACCTCCCGTGTTTTGTACCTTTATTTGTGTGCTGAGATTCTTTTGTTTCAGCTTCACGGCTTTTTCATTAGTTATACTGAAGTCCCAAGCGCAGAGAAGTTTGCTAGCATTTCCAGGGTATGCCTGAGGGTTAACGAAGTTCCTGCAGAAGGATTTTGCCATGCTGCAATGAGAATTAAATTTGTGAGATGTGTAATGGGGAAATATATCAAGTCTGTAAGCAGAGTAAGAAGGAAGATTTGTCAGTTTTTCTATCCCGTCCCAAGGCTACTGAACCTACGTCGGAACACATCACATAAGACAACATGAAAAATAAACTTCAATGTAAGAAGTAACTCTCACATTTCCTTCTCCTGGTTGTTGCTGAAATCTTTACCCCTGGAAGGCCACATCAAGACCAGAAAAATATTAGGAGCAACAGCTTACAGAAGGGGGATTCACGATATTCATTGGTTTGAAATGGGATTCTCTGCACGTCCCTTCCTATTTTGCAGTTATTCATTTGTCTAATAAAGGTTTGATTCCTGGAGACTGTGTTTTGAGCAGAAACTTCTACTCTAGAAGTACTCTAGACCTGGAAATAAGGGCTTACAGAAACATATTCAGGTAGTTATTACTGCCAACCATTGACAGAGTGGGGTTTTTTGCCCCCTTAATATAAGTGAAATAAGAATATGTAGTTAGTTTACCTGAACAACAAGATAAGAAAACAGATGACAAAATGTATTCCAACAGTGAAAATATAGGCCAGCTGCACATTGTAAGATGGACCATTCTCTATTTTACTGATTGTAGCATTGGTGTAAAAGCCATAGTAGAGTACTGTTTCTTGAAAATAACCCTGGAAAGATATGGACATCAATCAGAATTTTTGCTATCACCTGCATATGGTGGGAAATATCATCTGAAGCCCAGTTAATGGAAGTAGGAGCTGTCCCATTTCCTACTGTGGAATCACAGGTGTGATTAGATTTCTAAATATCAGGCCCTTTGTTTTCCTTCTATCAGCTACAATTTTCATAGTTTTGAGCTTCCAGAGATACATAAATGACTTGCATACTTCTTAAGATTCATGTGGGATGGTCATGAGCATTCAACACCTTTGCAGGATTTGGTCTTTTCTGAAAATTCCTGAAGAGCCAAAGGCTTAATTCCTTCTTTCTTAGGAGCAAGGTTCTGTACTGAGAAATTGTATCAACTATGACGGAACCAGCAAGGAAGCACGTGACATTCAACACTAGACTTACTTCATTATAGTTGAACTCCTGCAATGGTGACTGTACTTTGCAAAGTTAAATAACATTACTACAAAACACAGCACTTTAGAAGGAATTTTAGAAGGAAAAGCCTGACACCTTTCCTCTTTAAAAAAAACTCTTCTCAACTAAGCATTAGTAACAGCAGAGTCTTGTTTATTAACTAGAGAAATCCTTTAACAACAATAAAATTGACACACCTTTTACAGCAGAGGGGAAAAAAAAAAGAGTAAGTTTTCTTCTCAGATCACCTAGTTGATTAATACTAGTTAAAGCAGTGCAAAAATCTTCCTTTAAAAAAATCCTGGGACTTTATTCTCTGAATGTAAAGATTTCTACACAATGAAAAGATCCTCCCATTTTCACGCCCCACTGAGTTCAGCGGGTTGCCACAGAAAGATCTGTGTAGTCTTCGGAAGAATAAAGCTTTGGAAATAAAAAAAATTAAGAGGATCACATATGGAAATCTGCAGTGTATTTTCAGAGGAAAACTAGCATGGGAAAAATGTTCTGCTGAAAACTATTGTAGCTATCTTTGGAAGGTCTGGCTTCCTTTGTGTCTCTTCCACTGCTTTCTGAAAGAGTGATGAAAGTCTCGAAATACTGACTAACACAGCAATCATTTGCAGTGAGCAAAATGCATCAGAATGAGTTCCATTCATCTCACTCTGAGTCAATGTTTGTTGCAGGTTCTTTTTCAAATATGCACTAAATATTGTTTCTAGTCACGTGAAATTCTAACTCCACCTCTTAATAAGAAATACTAACTTCTTTATTCTACCATGAGTTTTTAAAGCAGATCCGTTGCACACAGTACTAATACAGGTCAGCAATGTGCAATCGCAGCTCAGAAGGCCAACCGCATCCTGGGCTGCATCAAGAGAAGTGGGGCCAGCAGGTCGAGGGAGGTAATTCTGCCCCTCTGCTCAGCTCTGGTGAGACCCCACCTGGAGTAGTGCATCCAGCTCTGGAGCCCTCAGCACAGGAAAGACATGGACCTGTTGGAGAAGGTCCAGAGGAGGGCAACGAAAGTGATCCAAGGGCTGGAGCACCTCTCCTATGAAGACAGGCTGAGAGAGTTGGGGTTGTTCAGCCTGGACAAGAGGAGGCTTCGAGGTGACCTCATTACGGCCTTCCAATACCTGAAGGGGGCCTATATGAGAGATGGGGACAGACTTTTTAGCAGGGTCTGCTGTGACAGAACAAGGGGTAATGGTTTTAAACTAAAAGAGGGCAGACTTAGACTTAACATAAGGAAAAAAATTTTTTTTTTACAATGAGGGTGGTGAAGCACTGGAACAGGTTGCCCAGAGAGGTGGTGGAAGCCCCATCCCTGGAGGCATTCAAGGTCAGGCTGGATGGGGCTCTGAGCAACCTTATCTAGTTGGAGATGTCCCTGCTCACTGCAGGGGGGTTGGACTAGATGACCTCTAGGGGTCCCTTCCAGCCCAAATGATTCTATGATTCTATGATCTGTTGTTACATACTTACAGCTCCAGTAAACAGCTCCAGACCCGTGAACGAAAGGTTATTTGGTTCTGCTGCAAAAAACTGAGGGATTGTGATGAAACTGAAGTTTATGAGGAATGAGAAGATGTTGAAAGTTAGCAGCCACTTCAAGAAAATAAAATAAGAAAGAACACTTGTTCCAAACTCAGCACCAATGATCTTCAGAGTCTTGTGCCATAACTGCAGTAGGAGAAAATATTCTGACAAGCTATTTCCAAATTGCCGAAATGACTGAAGTGCAAAAGAGGAGAGAGAGATGAATTTCAGCAAGCAGTTTTAAACAGGACTCAAAATCACATAATAAAGCCTCACATTTTTTACAGTTCCATTTTGGTGATAAGAACAGATTTCCCCCACTACATGCACCATAAGATGCTTAACTGGTGTTCCTAAGTGCTACCATAACGTGAGACATTATTAATGAACCCTGCAGCAATTAATTGGTTCTTTGGTAAGTAACATAAACCAAGATATCAGGCACCACTGGAGCCAGTGATAACATTGCAGCTAAAGTGGTTGACTATTGTGACTGACAGAAGTTGCCGACACTTACCACTACTGATCCCTGCAGACACTGTGTACAGCAGGAAAGTTGAGTACTGTGGTGCCTTGATTTTTTGGTTATTTCTCTAAGAACTTTATTCCTGTGGAAGAGCAGGGCAGGAGGTGACAAGCATTACAGTATGGGTTGTAATTAAAACAAAAAGCCAAAGAAGCTGCTGCAAATACAGTTTCACACGTGCATATGAACAGAGTTAATAAAACATGGAGATGTTCTGCTGGTTCTTTTTCTATTAGCATGGACAAGAGCCATGGTATCAGGTACGACAGTATGTTCTAATCCCTCCACTAACTCGCTCTGGGAACAAAACGTAAATATACTCTGTGAGGAGACAAAAGGGGAGAAGAGACCACATGGTCTCAACCATATTTTCAATGGCCAACATCCAAGCTTCCTTCGAAAAGAAATTGCAAGTCATCACTCATAATCAAGTCTCAAGGCCTTGATATTCTGTTTTTTTATTATCATGAGATTCTTCTCATCCAGAGAAAGGACAATGAACCATCTTTAAATTATTTTCCCTTGCTAGATGTTAACTTTTAAAAATTACACTAAAAAGTATTTTCAATTCTTCCAAAGTGACAAACCAAACAGATGGTTCGACAAACCAAACAAACATCCATACTTGACAGTTAGCCGTTGAAAGTATAGCGTTTGTAAAACTAAACAGATAAACTTCTATTTTTACCTGATCTCTCTCTTTTTTGTCATGGTCTCTGGCATCTTCTGGATTGCTTTAATCCTTTCACTGGTGGACATACTTGCAAGATTTCCAATTAACTTTTCCTCTGCATAAAATCCATGAAAAATCCAAATTTTGGGATAATAATACAGTAATTCTTATACAAAATCTGAAATGGATATAACAGCATTCCCCATTTTCACTGCTACCAAGGTGCAGCAAGTTCTGAGGCTTAATAATACTCCCCAGAATATCCTCAACTCCATCAGTACTCTAATACAGAAATAAGTAGTACAATTCTGGTCTATTGCTTGATCACTGTTTGATAGTTACATTTCTATGATGCCACATATTGACTTGAAAGCTAAACTTCTCTTTTATTTATTCCATAATTTTAGTTGATGTTAGTGCCCAAACTTAGCAGTACCTATGAAACAGACAGAACTGTGTTAGTTGACAATCAGGCTGGTTTTGTATAGTTGGAATCTGATGCTAATTCCAGTGGCTGAAAGCAATCCATTAGCTGGTCAAACAAATTCTAATAAAGAATTTAGCTTTTCTTTCTACAATTTAACACATATTCACACTGCACTGTGCTTCATTTATTGTGGGATTTTAGTGTGCTAGTAGACTATAAAAGATTAATCACTAGCGTTAACACAAAACCAAGTTGTTCCCATAACCACAGAAAGACTGCATGCAATTCTGGTGATAAACCAAGAACAGCATTGACCACATCATCCTTGTGCAAGATGCTACTTAATATTGAATCACTATCTAAACTCCTACCTTCTTTGCACACTGGATCTGTTTCAAACAGGCTGGAAGAAGTCATGCAGATTTCCTCAGGTGGTCTTCTGCTGTGTCTTCGAATAAAGCTATCTAAATAACATGCACGGTTTAGTGAGCCCAGATACTCCTGACAAATTGACTTAAGAAATTCAAATTTCACTTGCACAGAAAAAAGTTAAAATTATACCCTTCAATCTCACTACCTACATGCAAACATATACTCCCTCACTCACTTCTTTCCTGGTCACGCTTGATGACCGTATGCAGTTTTTCAGATGCATGCTGAAAAAGAGGTACTGAGCCAAGTCTTCAGCTGTCATGGAAAACTGTGTCATCTAATCCACTCATAAATGCGCACATTGATTATTCAAGACTTTCTTCCTAGAAGACAGGTCCTTTCTATAAATATCCTTCCACTGACTTTGAGGGATTGTTTGAGAATCACACTCAATCATACTGAATAAGTTAAACGTATCAGACTCCCATTTGCCTGGGGTCAAAATGCAACTGTTCTCTCAACCTTCTTTCACCCAATTATTCAAACATGAGTGACTATATTCCTTAAATGCATCTGCCTTCCAGCTATGAAATGGATGAGTTCAGTCACAGCTTTCCTTGCCTCACCTTCCCAGTAAGCTAATGGCCAGTCTGTGCAATGTTACATCCCCCTTTTAAGCTTGACCCTCCGGTGTGGAAGTCCCCAACTAACTAATGTGCCTGTTAGTTAATGCACACAGTGCAGATTCCTTCACCATATTTACTATTTAGATCTCACGGTTCCCTGATGTTAGTGTCATTTTCACTTTAAGCCAACTTCCTTCGTAGAAATTCAAAAGAACCAGAAAAAGAAAAACATCTGTGCCACCTTGCGGAGGTACTTCTTGAACTTTCAGCACCCAGACATTCATCCAGACATTCCTCCTCTAGTTGACTGTGTTGCAAACGCACTCTCTCCTTCCTATCAGGTATTAAAAGCCATGCATGATAGTTAATGTTTGGAAATGTCCTACTTCTACAGTCACTCATGGAGTGAGGCATTTCCAGGTACCAATAAAATCACTGCTCTCTAATACGAATATGGGATTTTGCCAAATCAGATCTTAATTTTGAGACCATGTTCTTAAAGATGAAAAAAAAACCAAAAAACCCAAACCAAACCAACCCAACCCAACACCAAGATTCCCTCACTTTGTGGCCACAGAGAGACGGTTCCTTCAATGTATCTAGGTAATAATTCCAGAAAAGAACTCTTCACTGTATTCCAGAAGCAGCAGACAGGAACTGAATCGATTCTAACAGAAACATTACATGATATGGGAAGAACAGTTCCTACCCAGAAGATGAAATATAAACTACTATGATAACCTACAATAGAACCCAGATTATACTATTCCAGACCCCCTGTATTTTAATGAATATAAATCTCTGATTACTATTACAGTCTAGAATTCACACAGAGACAACATAGTGAAAAATTCACTAAAGACAGTCTCAAAAATGCATCCTATCCTCCCATTATTTCCTCCTACAATGAGTCTCTTCAGATAACTGTATAAGTTTGTTTTATGTGGACCCATTTATGGGGAGTTTGGGTTAAAATGGGTAGGCATTAAATCTTTCATTGCTCAAAAAACAAAGATTGTCACCTTCAGAAAGGCATTGAAAAATTCAGCTAGAACAATGTAGGATAGTACAAGACAATTTACGTTTTATGATTCCTTTTATTATATGAAGATCTTCATAAGAAGGCTTTTAAATATTTATTATTTTATGGAAGGCAAGCCTGACATGCAATATTCTGATACACCACAATCCTTATGTCTTACCTTCCGATATATCGGAAATTCTGCGGGTATAGGGGCGATCCAACAGATGGAAGGTAGAAAGTGGGCTGTATGCCAGTTCTGGCTCAGGCTCAAAGGAAAGATTATCTGTTGAAGGGAATCAGAATTATACAGAAAGTTGTATACGGCTATGGATTATTTACACACACAGAATATCAGCCCTATTGACCAAATACAGCTCTATTGCAAACACAGCAATATATCCCATTAACAAAACTCCTATATCTCACTCCAGTGTACATGCTACTACTCAACGACTTTTGCAGTCCATACAAGTCAGTATTTACCGATCTGTTAATACAACAGACAGCCCATGGATCTGTTAACATAACACCTGAACTACTTGTGGGAAAAAAAGCAAAAAAAACTCCACTGCCACCATGTACAAATATATACAGAGTTGAGCTTTCCAGAGCTGCAGGACTCTCTCAGGATAGAGTAAGCCATTATTTGTTCCAGTGTTTCTGTAAGCCATTCATATGAGAAATTACATACCCATGGTATTTCCATATGGACTTCTGCTTAGGACATTAACTCTTGGTAAAACTTCGCTGTATTCAGAGCCAGGTCTCATGGAAGCCATTGCTCTGGCCAGAGGGTAATTCTGTCCTCTTCCGCTGTGTTCTCCGTAGGAACCATGCAGTGAAGAATCATAAGGGGTTTGGTGAGAGAACAGATTCTTTTGTGAACTCCTCCTGTGTGAGCAACAAAAAGGGAAACCCTGAGGGCCACAAAAACTCTCAATAGATATCCTTAATAAATTGTTACCTATTATCATCAAATTTGAGTACATTCTAAAACAAACTCCGATACTGAGAGGTATTTTGTATTCAGAACTCCAACATCATAATTCTGACTTGGCCATCAACTGAATTAGAAAGACTAAAACTTTTATCCACCTGAAGTTAGCTTGGACTCTACCTAAATGGGAATAACTGCCTGCAAAATGAGGACATCCAAGGTTATAGCACATTGTGAAAATTATTTGAACTAAAAAATTATGCCATTATGCCATAAACCCAAAAATACATTTAACTGACAAATTCACCTAACATGTAAAAAGCAAGCATGCCATTTCTCTTGAATCCTGCCTTTCTGATAAAAGCTTAAAAAAATTTGTGTCTGAGAATGCAAGCATAAATGACAGATTAAAAGAATTCCACGAATTAGAACTCTGGAGAAAAAGTTTCTCCTGCATAGAAGCAGATAAATTAATTTCTTATGGCACAGTCTTTTTTGCAACAGCAAAATTGAACAAACTCACCTTTTATCAATTTCCAGTGTTTCTGAAAAGTGGTAGTCTGGATTTTCAAAGGCTTCATTGTAATGATAAGACATGATAAGTCCTTGGTTTGAGGTGTGAAATCTTCCTTATTTTTGTCTCTACTGCTTCATTAATATGTTCAAGAGAAGACTGATTACAGACCTAATTACAAAACAGATGCATGTACATTTAAAATGGAAAGAAAGGAACTTCATTTTAGCATCTTAGAAGATTTTGCCACCCTGCTAACAAATAACATGAAACAATATAAATCGGAAATGGTTCTAACTTAGTGTTATTTACCACTGAGAAATTAGGGTCCACCAGAAGTTGCAGGTAAAGTGGCAACTAACATTTCTCTATAGTAAACTCTCTACAACAGTGAAGACAGGTTTTAGAAGCATGACAAAACATTAAGAAGAAAACTTTCTCTCTTTCCTCCTCATACAGGAAAAGACAAATACACAAATTTTCTCTGAGTACTACTTTTGCAAAACCAAAGATCAGGTGAAGTCTGCCCACTTCCTTACCAGCAGTGACACCTCTAAGCCTTAACTGTGAGCAAGGGACCCACTGAACCACTGCTATGTACAGAGCTGACAGTATTTAGAGACCCATTCTTAATGAGGGCTTCTCTAATGACTTAATGTCTCGATCCTGTAAATAGGTTTGGGTTTAGCTTGCTTTCTCACAGGGTGCTGCATTTTAGTCTTAAGCAAACCAGACTTGGTCAGAGTTTAATGAATGGAAGTCCAGGTAAGTCAGTGAAAAGGGAACCTTATATTAGAAAATCAGAATCCAAATTAAATAGGCAGTTCTTGCAATTAATCAAAAGTCATACTTAAAAGTAAAAAGGAAGCAATTTCTAGCATTCTTCTTAAAAGCACTGCGCCAAGTTTGACCAGCTGGCAAGCTATTCAACAACAGGGAAGGAAAAAAAAAAAATTATAAAGGACGCATCTGGCAAAACCCATAAGACCCTGCTTTTCTCTCAGCTCCACTCCTAGAAAAGCAGAGCTGAATCTCATTTAACAGGACAGTCTCAACCAACTTTTCTGTCTGTAGAGTTTTTTATTTGTGATTTCTATTGCAGTAGAGGAAGTATCCCAGGAAAATATCTTCAAAATAGATAATTGTACAGTGTCTAGTTTCTGAAGGCTTGTCAAAATCTTCTTGTTTTGCCAAAAGAAGCTCTTAAATTACTATTGTGTCATTTACACACCTAAAGATCTTGGAAGACAGACTAAAAGTTTGCCATGTGACATACAGTTGTAAAACACGGCCCAGGTTTTGCACATTGATTTGCAAAGAGATTTGCATATAAACACAAGTGGTTGATTAAATTCAAAGTCCTACCTTTTAATGAGAACATGTCTACACTTTCATGATAGCATGAAGTAGCATGCTAGGAGGCCCATGTCTTCAGCCAACATTCAGTAAAAAAGCATACGAGGCAATTTGAATATACAGTGCATCACCCATCCGTTCCGTAAATAGTGGAATGTGATTACTGCCAACAAGAAACTATAAACATAGCCTCTCCTAGGCGAAACTTGTGTTTTTTTCAGGCAACAATTTCACACCTACAGAGCCAGAGTGAGATTCTCATGTGTTCAGAAAAGTAATTAGCAGAGCCTCCTCCCATTATCTCCAAAGAAAAATCAATAAACACCCCAGGAATCTAAGGCTCTTACATAAAAGTCATGGGAAGTTTAAATCTCCCGAGAGGTAGGTTTTCTTTGACAGGAACCACTTAGCTCTTGATGATCTTTTGAGAACTAGCTTAAAATATATCTGAAATTTTACACAAACTCTTCAGTAATAGTACATTCTGTCCTTATACTCCATTAAAAAGCACAGAAACAATTCTTGAAAAAGATAATCATGGTCTTCTGCAAAGAGTTGCTTGAAAAACTAGATTTCCCCCTATAAGAGTGTTTTACATTTTAACCTGTAATGAAAAGCTAAAGAGGAAAAGATTACTTTCTCAGAGGAAGAAAATTATCAGACAATTCCCTTTGAAGAGTGTGCAAAATTACATTTTTCTCTTTTTTGACTGGTTTCCCAGGAACCCAACTCACTTGGACTCAGCCATCCAGAAAGCTGGGAAGCCTGCCAGCAAGGCAGCTGGAAAGCTGAGCACTGATCTAAACAGCTCAACAACTTGCCTGGTCTTCATTCAAACCGTAGAGAGATCAGATATTTTGAAGGAAATGCACGGGTTGTGTAGAATCAGCATTGCCCAAAAGCAAGTTGGTAGGAAGCATCAATCAGTTCTATCAACCAACTTGCTAAAGTGCAATCGACCAGAAGAAACAGATCAGCCTGACTAGAGGAGAGAAAAAAAAACACCAAACAAAAAACCCAAAACATCTTGATCCCTTCTTTCTCTTACTCATTTTAAAGACCTCTAGGCATACCCATGAAGGCTTGCTAAGACACTCAAATAAGCCCAAGACAGACTGTCTATCAGTTCCATCATTATGCACTTTATTTGTTTTGAGTCTTAAGATGCACTTTATGTCAGGATTTCTATGAAAATCCACAGGGACATTTACAGTCTAACGCTGAACCCAGCATCTGAAGTCACTCTGTTTTTTTCCACTGCCAAAGTTTTGAAGATTTTAAATAAATTCCCCATGTATGCTAAGGCAAATTCAAATCTTTGCATCTCTTTCCTGAAAAAGAGAGAGACTTTCCTCTTGCTACCTGAGAGCATTAGATTCCAAACCTTGAGGCATTTGGAGTGAGCAAGAACGTGAACATGGAAAACCTGTATGTTTCTTGACTGAGGCTGTAGTCACTTGAAGATTACTATGCTACCTTGTACATAAATGCTGTAGGGTGGGATGGACGTGTGTATGAGCATACATGCTTGGGGTGTACAGGTGGCACGTCAATCCACCCACTTCCTCCATCCCAAGCCCAAAGATCGTGAGAAACTCTTCTTATCAAATCAGATGCCTACCCTATAGGTTTGGTTTGGGATTTGATGGACCAGAAGTTTATAAACTTCTGACTAGTCATGGTTCATTGGAAAGAACCCGAAGCAGGTAATGGTCAAGCTAAACCATCTCTTTTCTTCTGTTTGACCTATGATGGGATGCAGTAAATCATAGCTTCAGGAAAAGCTATGACATTTAGATTCAGCTTTCCCTTTAAAAATCTATTTTCCAGAAGGAAAAAAAAAAAGAAAAGCTGGAGAACAGAGGTCATTTGTGAAAGAAAGATGCATGAGCTTGACAAATCTTCCCTTTGCAGAGTGGTGTCCATTTGTTGGACAACATTTTGGATTTTGGCAAGCAACTAGACAAATCTTGTGTTCCTCCTCTGAAGAACGGAAGGGTTTAAGATCAGTGTGTTTAATAATCATCAATATGTAAGTAAGTTACAGGATAGGTGGAGAGTGAGTGCTTTCTGCTTAAATCATTCGACACACACTGTAATGATATAGAACAGGAAACTCCAAGCAGTGCAGACTCACGCTTCTGGATCATTTCCCAGATAAACAACTGCCTTCACATCATAGACCAACAGTCTTGACAAAAATATTCCAAGTCAGCTTCATCCATTCCTGTACAGGTAATTCTCTGCTATATACTCTAAATGAGGATTAGTGTCTAAATCAAACAAAACATGAATGTCTTGCTAAAATAGCACTTTGTCCTGCTATCGAGTTTCAGGAAAGCCATTCAGACCTTCAAGTCCTTTACCTGTAATCCCTCAGTAAAAAGGATTACATAAAGTAAATTCTACTTACACAAATCTTGAACAGGAATGGAAACAGTAAGTTCCAGAACTACAACATAGTTGACCTAACAGTGTTGAATGAAGGGAATAGAACTCCGAAGAACTGATTCAGAAGGCTGAGTGCTCTATTTCCACAAAGATCTTTTAGTTTTGTAGGGTACGACTGGACAGGGCTTCCACTGTTACCTAAGTTATTTTTATTCATGAATCCCTGTTCTGTTTAACATGTTCCACACAGCTTCATACTGAAAAAATCAGACTGATTTCTGGAAGCCAAACGTGAGTTTAAGAGACAGACCAGAGTTAAAACTAGATTACATGCTGCGTCAGCAACTAGGTTCCAGTACTGACCGCTGCTCTTCCAGTCTCAATCCCAACAGTTGCAACACTGCTGCAACAAATCAGGAAAGACCCTCAGAAAATCTAAAGCGCCTCAGCATTCATGCTAATCAAACACTACATTCAAGAAAATCTGATCTTTAATTGACCTATTAGCAATGAAACAAGTGTGAATCATACACGGAAGTGAAAGTCCTTTATCTTTTATGCGTATTACCAAAGTACGCAGTTTGCACTGACAAACGCCACGTCTTACGGGCCTTCCATTGTGTTTTTATTGATATCAGCAGGGTCAATTACAGGAGCCAATGTCAACTTTGTTATTTTAGACCGTCAATCAATTTCAGCAATGTAAATTGTGCCTCTGCTACAAAAGACCTTCCTAGTGAAAGATGGCGTGGTAGCACTAATGACTTACCCACTTATTACTGCATAGGCAAAGGACAGACAATCGAATTAGGAAGGGAAAGGAGAAAGCAACAGCATTCCCATTACAGACACAATGCTGCTGTCTCTCCAACAGCTTGTTGGATCTCAAGCTCACAAAGGAAGGTACTTCCTAGTCCTACAGTTCAAGGCTACCTGCCAGAATTCAGATCCCATCCTCCCTGTCCTCCCAGCCCTTCTTGGTGAGAGTAGGGTGCAGAGTAGCCCGGCAGGCTGGCAGAAGCAGGTAGAATAGTTGGTTTGTGTCTGACAAGGGGGAACATCCTACTGCTGGACTCTCTCTGCCCTCAGCTCGCTGCTCCCATTGCCTCCAGCTACTGCTGCTTCAGCCTCCTGAGCTCTGCTCCTTATTTGCTCTTCATCCATTTCTTGCACCTACTCACTTGTTTGCCTTGTCCTTTCCATTTAACATTCCTCTTGTAATTTCCCAACACTTCTCCCCCCTCTCCAAATATAAGATGACTACAATATTTTTCATGCTGTTCACTTTTTGCAAGTTAAATCCTTTCTATTACCTGTGGTCGCTTAGACAAGGCTT